TTCAAAATACTCCTGTAAATCATGTAAAATTTACGATGCTGGACCTTGGTCATCTAAACATTGAAACTAAGTTGGTGATTTTGTTGCAATACGTACATACGCCTTAATGCCTATATTTGTGTGGATTGAACCCCAGTATTTAGAACGTTTCGAATTAGGTACAGCTGTCAGATTTAGTAAACGGTCGTGGAGCTCGTTTGAGACGGAACTCGGAACCGCTCCGTTTCTAACATTAGTTCAATCCCGATGAATTGGTGCACTTGCTGTGAGAGCGCTCGAATTCCGTTAGTTTATGTTTCATTGCATCTCTAATTCCCGTAAATTTTCTGCTAAACGGTTTGCAATCGGTTGGTATAAATTCATTTAAAACTGTTCTTTCTGATAAGTCAAACGATAACAGGTAATAAAACTAAAGGTATAAAAAATTGCGAAGTGTAACAGAGCAATAACAAAATATATTTTATTAAGGCTTAAAAGATATAACGAATATAGCAAAATGAAGCTAAGCTCGCTACAATGAAGTACCTAAAATTAATATAATAAACATATCTTATAACTTACCTAATAAATTAGGAATTACTGTTCTCTAAATATTTCTACACAAAGGCTCATAAAAATAACATAAAACAAATTACCTTATTTCACCTAACGTAAACGAAAATTAGGTTCGGGCGAGACGCATAACGAAACTTTGCCGAATTTATTAACAGTAAATGGTACTATTGTGAAGAATAATATTTGTTCAAATTCAATTTAATTTTTTTGTTTCGTTCAATATTTTTTATATCTTTTATAGTGATAATATTTAAATATATATATTTAGGAATTATAGGAGATAGTAGCAAATGTATAATATTTTATTCAATGGGAAGATAGAGAGAAGGAAGCTAAGACAAAAATAGAAAACAGACTTTTACTCACTTCATGAAATTATAAAAACTTAATACCAAATGTGAAGAATTTTATCTACAAGTAAGTACGTAATAGTGCACAATCAAGAAAAGTTGAAAAACGGTATATAAAACAATATTTTTTTGAATAAATTGAACGAAACGTTCAAATAACCTTATACCTATTTAGAAAATCCCTCTAGCTTTGTTTCAGTTATAGTCTATTGTAATAATAATTAATGAATTTATATGATACTTTGTTTAAACATTTTTATTAAAAATAATGTTATTAACGCTTTCTAAATGGTTCTTAGCGATATTCTATAGGTCGAACCATCCTTTGAGAGCGACGCCAGAGGCACTAGACGGGGCTTTTAGCAGATAATTGCGTTAATATGTCCCGACGTACGACACCTACAAAATTAGATGAGTTCACACTTCGTATGGCAATATATCGTATTTCCTACATGCTATCCAGTTTAATTATGTTTTTGTTAGTACTTATGCCTAGATACGCATTGACATTGACATAATTAACAAAATATAGTTATGTTTAATATAATATCATTTTCATAGTTATAAGTATTTAACATTCATTAACAGATAATTCATTTTAGATCGACTATATATTAAAATTCTTCATTTATATTTAGTTTTTCGGTCTCTTTTTTGTATGAAAATTTAAATTAAATATTATAAAATTTGCTTCCAAACTCAAAAGTTCGTTTACCTATCAATGAAAAAGAAGGGTGGTAGAAAAAGTATGACTCGTTTCAAGTTTCAACCAGCGTTGGTGTTGACATATCCCGTCATTCTGTTATAGGCCTGCATTCGCTATTTTCATTTTCGATTACTGTGTCTAAGAGATAGCACATTGGCTTGTAATTGAACCACGACGTCTTTGATATATCGTCTCTTTTATCGGATTGGACGGACGCAATAACAGACCCTTGATTGCTTCCAAGTGGACTTGGGAGATTGATTATTTTCTCGTTACTGCTCCTGTGTCTCTTAGGGGTGTTTTCTTTACCCCGAAGCCGCTTATTTTATTTGTTCAAATGTTGTGATAGATGTGGTGAGGTAACCGCTAAGAATCTTCGATTATGATACCGTGAGTGAGTAAAACCATATCTATTAATTCATTAAAGCAAAATAGTATTAAAATATAAAGATTAAGGGCTGTAAAAAATCCTATTGTGTATGTTTATTTTGTGTCTCTAAAACATTTTGGCAATAAAAAGTAAACATTAATGTGAAAATATTGTCGGTTAAGCGGACCGTCCGTCCGCCGCTAGCAAAAGCTCATAAATAAACAGGGAACTGGATGCCCCGTCGAAAAGTTTTGTGAAAAAACTCGCGAATGTAAAATTTACAGCCCAGAATTTAGACGTGTTTTAATTAACCGAAACGTGGATAGTACTGCAAAATGTTACGGCAATAATTTTATTACTATGTTAAATTAAAACACCTCATTACCGTCACTGCAGAACAGTTAATACTAGTCAATTTTATATAATTTCATCATAATTGTTAAATTATTGTGTAACATTTAAACTATACATTTACAGAAAAACAAGTGTTATATATAAATTTTATAAATGTTTTATTCTTTTTTGATTATATAAATTTATGATTTTGTATCTTTTATAAATATAAATGATTACTTACTGACATAGCAAGCATTGTGCAACTGCGTGTTTTTAAAATATTATTTATATTTTTGCTTTCGTTGCAAGTTCTTTTTGGGTAGCACACTTACACATTGCTTTGTTCTACAGAGAGACTGAAACTACCTGTTTAGTTTGACTTTGGTTTGCCAGTTTTACTTTACATTTAGAATAATTGGGAAACCGAGCATTGTAACTTCAGGCATACTATTTTCTGCTTTTGTTAGCTTTGAACGTGAAGAACGTGAATAATTTTGGTTCAAAAAACCATAACTGTAAGTAACTTTAGTTTATTTTGCTACGTGTACTGCATTTCTATTTTTTAATCAATAAGTAACTTATAAGAATTATATTTATTCGCTCGGTTATTGAAGTAATTCATTCTGAAAACTAAAATATAAACGGTATAAACTAAACAACAATTTTGCACGTTGAACACCAAAATGCATGAAACATTTGTGTATTTGTTTAAGAGCTTAGCGGAAAATTTTGCACAGCGTCATGTGTTGGATGTAGGCAGGGAAACAAAGTTGTTAGTATAATGAAGACGAGAATGCCGGTTGATCCACCACATTTGGCAGACTTGGAACACACTGCTGCCGAGTGTTAGTTTCTGAACTTGGCTTGTCGATTTACTTTGGAAGATGCCCTCTTTAAACAAACTTGCAAATTAAGTCGATTGAATAAATAATTAACTTTTTAACTAAATTTCTCAGTTTCAATCAAATATTTTATTTTGTGGAATATAAAATTTAAAGTATAGCATAAAATGCTACCTGTGAAGCCCTTACTCAGGCTAAACATGTAATATCTATAACCCTCGCATTGTAAAACAAGAGTAATCCTTACAATATCTCTGAACTGATTAAACCTTTTTATAACAATTACTTAAATATTTTCACATACTACATATATACTATATATATATATATATATATATATATATATATATATATATATATATATATATATGTGAGTATTTATATGTGATATAAAGTTCATGAATAGTCCGGAACGTACAGACGTACATTATTCTTGGGAACAAAGAAGTTGTTGCAAAGAAATCGAAACTACGAATAAAATACATTATGTAAATCACATCAGTTAAATCCAAAAAAGATTAATGTATGTAATATTACACTTTAAAGTTGTAATAATTTTTTTACTATTTTTTTATTATTGATGGTATACCCTTAAATATGTATATTGTCGTTGGCGATTAATTTGTTACAGTTAATTAAAAAGCATTGAATTATTGGAGAAAAGTTTTTTATATTTATATATTAATTTTGTTCATATTTAGTTATTTACTTATGTCTTTCTTAACTTCTGGAAAATCATCTGTAAACTTATAATTTATTCTCATTATTTTTATTTTGTGTTTCTCATGAAATGAAACTCATTTATAGATTTTAATATGCATATTTAATTGTCATTGTAGTCTTGATAATATTTGTGTCAATTAACAATGTAAGTACACCATGATATAATTGTCGAATATATTGTCATATTTAAGTATGTACATTCCAAATGTTTTAAAGTTTTAAAAGTGAATGAACATCGTTTCCTTAAATTTAATTTTCATTTTTTATATTATTTTTTTATTCAAAATATGTATACCGAAAATAAAATTATTCAAGAAACTTTGTAATACATTTCCATTTTAAATTAACCCCACATTGTTTATATATATATAACCAAATATATTTTCTATTATCTAACACGTTCCACATCCGATGATGGATGGATGTCAATTAAGCATAAGGATTCTTGTCTTATTCACTTCCTTATTTTTCTTGATAACAAATAAACAATACATTTATTCAACTCTTTAAAATCTGTTTATGTATCTTTTAGTATAAATAGAAATGTCAGCATAAAACATCAAATTTTTAAAATGGTAGACCTTTGGGAAGTCGCTACAGCATATTATTTAAAGTAAGATTAATTTACTTAAAATTATTTGTATAAGAACAAGTTGAATAAATAGAGTTTATCACATATTTACACTATGTATGATCCTATCTTTATAATACCTAGAAAACTTTCTACACCGAAGATTATAGAACGTTATTTCATTAAGATGCAATAGAATAATTATATAGTATTAAAAAAATTATGTTGTTATACTACATATACAGAACCAGTTTTTCAAAAGATTAATTCCTTTGAAATACTTACAGAAGACAAACTAATATAAAAAAAATAATGGTCATTAGATATGTATAGGTACATACTACATATATCTTTTTGTCAAATTTAAACATACGAGTACATATGTACATTTTCCTACCTCACTCATACAATTATATAATCTTTTATATTTATAACTTTATACGAGAATAACATTTGTAATTTACCAACAGTAGATTGCTAAATGTTAAAGTATTTTAACCTGTTTCTGTTCAATGATTTTTGTGATAGGCTTTGTATATTCAATTTACTAATATGTTATGTATTTCATGACAGAAAATATGGTTAGTATAATATGAATGTGGGAATTCGAATATGAAGAGCTATTGACCACAGCATCCCTAGCTTCAGTTTCTAAATTATCAAATATTTTGCGAACGTTATTGCTTAAATTTTTTCTAGTCTTATCCGTTCCATTTATAACACGGGATTTATTATTTGTGCTGTTCTCTTTATTGGATGGATATTTTTTTGCTGGATGAGATCTAAGGGTTTCGTTAATGTTATCTTTGTCGTCTTCATCATCAGATCGCTCCGCGGAACCGAATTGGTTATCAGGGCCTTCGATAGGTGAAGAGTATTTGTAATCCTCGTTCTTTGCGGATGAACTGGTACTTTCGACAACACGACCTGGTATTTCTGCGAAATTGATTTGACCATTTAGGATAATAGGAAAGTAATGAAGAGATTTTGTTATAATTAATATTTTATAAAGCTTAAAGTTAATAGTTTTATTCAATTTGATAACATATATGAGATAAATTATAGTATAACAGTGGTAATCACATCTAAGACATCTTAATCTGGGCTTGTTTATGCACTGCTGACTATTGAGGTCACGTAGTAGTTCTCATTAAAGATATTGGCGTCTTAATCTGTATATATTGTTATATATATATCATTGTTATCTATAATATATTATATGTGTATAACAACCTCATCACAGAATAAATTTATAAAAGTACATAATCGTTCTTGATCAATATTACTCACCATAAAGTCTTATACTGCTATCGACTTCTCCAAGTGAATTCTTAGCAATACATCTATAGACGCCCACGTCATCAGCAGTTAGTTTACGCACTGTAAGTGTCATGCGACTCTCGAATGAACTGATCACAGTGTTCATAACTTCAAACTTCTCCGATGATATTACCATCTCGTCTGTCAGAGAAGGAATTAATATTTAGTAGTGGAAGTTTTTGAGAAAAATCAATGAATCGGTGTATAATGTAACTCATCATACTTTTCTGCTAATTTTTATTGGTTCAAAATGAATAAATTGTATTTCGGACGAAAAAATACATTTAAATTAACAACTCATGTTAATATATATATGTATACTCGTGTGTGAAAGGCGGATATCATAATATCATCTCATGTTTTGCCAGACGAATTCTTCATAAAGCCTAAATTGCTACCATTTACTAGCGCACACTTTACCGTCAAGCTACGGTAAGCTTCACTCTGTTGTCCGCTAGTGATAAAGCGAGTGGCCTCCTTGAGACCATCGTACTACAAGTCTATTACTCACTGGAGCTCTATAACGGACGACTAAGATACAAACAAAATTTTGACGGATTAGAGCTTAAAAATATTTCCTTTTATTCCTCAAAAACTTTGTGGACATTCTTTTAAAACAATTTAATTTTTTGTGCCACTTTGTTGATGGAAAATATTGATTTTGCGTTGATTTATTTCCTCGAATCGATATTAATATTAATATGGTTATTGAGTGAGTAAAATTATGACTGAAAATGGTTGTAAAAATAATTAGTTTAGCTTTTAAAATAAATTAGATTATCTCATTTAAAGTTTTTGATTTAATCAGCTGATTATTTCTCTCATCTGAAGATAAAATCATGGTAAATTTGAATAAACTGGGAAATGATATCGAATAATAAGAATGAAAACTTATTTAGAAAGGAAATTTTGGAGGGACTGATAAGAATGTTTAGTACAATCTTAATTTCGATCAAAACTTTGGTTTGTTTGTCCACTGCTCTCGACTTTACGACTTAGATGTATCTCAAACAAAATTATATAGCAAAATTCCCTTCTCCGTTTTATTATATTTAGAAATTTCATCTCAATTAATGTCTAAAATAACACTGTAACACTCTTAATTACGTAAGAGTGGGGGTTGCTTAATTAACACTTACATGTCAGTGGCCCTAACATAGATTGATGACAAACGAAAATGACAACCCTGTGCTTGGTTTTCGATGCGAGTCGTGTAAAAGCGCCAGTCACTCGGTACGAGTTCGCCTTATAACAAAGGTTTGATCGACGTTCGTACAACTGTATAACATTAGCGCAAAACTTACTTTAATGCGTTTTGATAATTAATATAATGTTTCTCTCGTATGAGACATGGATGTTAGAAACTATGAACATTTGATTTGTTCCCTGAAGCATACGCTGCAGGAAGTTAGGTATAGTAAATAATCATATAATATTCCTTAGTGTTGAAATTATTAACGATATTTGATAAGGTTTAGTAATCCGTACTTCAAATTTTTATCTAAGGCAACTAATTCACATTAAATTGTTTAGTCCTAAATACAGAATAAAAAAGTATGTTATTTTTATAGCTTTCTTATGTTAAAATTTTTATACTAGATACCAATTTTTTTCTTTAGTGTAACGATGGTTATAGAAACGAAAGTTCTTAAATTTGACTTATAAGATAAAAATGTTACAATGTAATAAATAGGTCAACATTCTTTTTACGACATTGGATACACATACTTTGTAATTTCCCTCCATGTAGGACATTTAATAGGTAATAAGAAAATATATTATAACATAAATGTGAGAAAAGAACATTAGGTGGTAGACGTAGGCCTTGGGTAAGTACCGGCCATTGAGTTGGTTATGAGCAACAGTATTCTGCAGGTGTAAACTATGTCAGGTAATGGAACGCCAGGTTAATGATACCCCTTACATTTATAAGGGTGCAAATAATCTCAATGAGTTTTTAATAACACGTGTTTTAGTCACATAATATCAATATTAAGGTTTTCTTCTATATTCTCCTATATTTTGTACAAGTAAGATCGAAAATAACTTACTTACTTAGTACTACTAAATGAAGTGATATTTCCCTCTATATTAATAGACAATGGCCTTCCCTTTGGCTCTGTTTCATTCTATTTATTATTTCTATTAATATTTTTTAACATGTATTGAAAGACCAGTAAAGAGATTTTCGTTTGCTGATAACTTCACAATGACGAGTAAAGTTTTTATACTTTGAAAATTATTATAAAAGTAACTGAACCTTAACAGAATAAATTAAATGAATAAAAGCGGTTTTAGTTCTGGTGGTGGAAATATTCAGTAATTTTATTTTAAAGTTTCAAGAATAAAGTATATTTTTTTTTACACTATTTGCGGTCCTTGAAACTTTTTAAATCTACTCCTAGTCCTGTTTTGGGTAAGAATTCTAGATGCAATGTACCTTGGATAGATTTTAGAACATTTAACATTTGAAACACAAATGTTAAATAGCAAGTATTAAAATTTGTCTATTCATGGCTCTGTTATAAATGGCCGAATGTAATATTTTTGTTTATGATAGTCACTGCCACCGCTTGAGGCTATTAGAAATCCATTCAATTTGAAGTTCGGATGCAGTAATCATATTTAAAGCCTTCGAATTAATTTATAATGAAGGTCATTAATATAATAATATTTATCTAATTTTAAAACTATAACTGCTTAATTGTAAACCGGTAAAATCACCTCTATAGAAATTAAACAGAAAACATGCTGTGATACAAAACAACAATTGGATAGTTTAGGCCTCTAGTTATCACGGTTAAATTGGAAATGAAAAGCCGAAAGAAAAATGCTTAAATCGACTAACTTGATAGTAATGGACAGCTCTAAAGCTATTATATAGCTCTAAATTTTTTTAGAACTAAATAAAATAAGCTAGAACATTTTCTAGCCAGCAGATGAATATACATATATTTTGGTCAAATAATATGTTGTTTTCATTTAATCAAAAAAAAATATTAGAATTAAATGTAAGTATAGCGCAGATTTAGTGGTTGCATGTTTTAATTTTTTTCCGGTTTTTATCGGTATCCACTAATTTAACAGATTGTCTTAATATTGTTACTGATTATAAATGTGGAATATAAAATTAAAAAATCAACAGATTATATAAAATTACATTATTTGTTGATTTAAATAAAAAAAACGACTTTAAATAAAAAAAGGCTAGAAAAGTACATTTAAAGACATAAATAAAGTTTCTTTCCGAATATAACTATTTAACCAATTTATAAATTTAAACTATTTATAAATGTATACTTATATACGTATTTTAAGACGTCATTATACTATAGTTATAAAAATAGATTACAAAAGATAAAGGTTGCGTTGAACATAATGACTAATTTCATCCATAAACTAAATAAAAGTTCGGCGTTAGAATAGAACGTTACACTTCACAGTCACCGTTGTCTCCTGGGACATTGAATCGGCTCTAACCTTTTAGATTGAAGTACCATCATTTTATATTGTATAAAATGTAGACTCTAATGTCTTTACCGTGCCAAGTTACAATGGAAAATATAGGCGAACGTTGATTTTTCAATATTATATTGTAGTGTAATAAAATAATCATATTACTACATACAGTGGTTCCACGAAGTTGTTTTTTATGAATATAAAATATAGATGTAAAAACTATAAAATCTTAAAACACTAGACAGTTTGAGCTGGTTCTACATTGAAATTAACCCGTAAATTTCAGGCGACAACTGCTGAGTAAAGAACTTTATGAAACCGCCGCCGGCCATAAAGAGAAGAAATACGATTCTCAAATCATTCTTGCTCATTATGGTTAATATTATTTTTTTCATAATTTTTATACTATTACAAATATTAAGAATAATAACATTAAGATCAAATGCACTAGAATATAAATATTAAGTCATCGGTAGACCTAACCAGTGATGTTAAGATTTACAGAAAACTAAAATAATATCATATGAAAAAACATTCCAACTATATATTTACTTTAAAAAGCTTTGTGTTAAAAAAAATGTATATTATTGCGAGATTTATGTAATCGATACATTATTTACTACAATAAGATTAAATATTTACCTCCTTCCGGCAATCCTAATATTAGAAATGAAATGAATCGAGTGCGTCGCGTACTTATTTTCCTGACATGTTTTGTATATAATCAGAAGGAGGAAAATATATTATTCTTATAACTCTACCTGGTTTATTTTACGCGTCAATAGCTGCTAATGGATATTTCACAGCATATCACGTACGATTTTATGATGATTCGTCACTAAACCACAGTCACTGATATTAAAATTTGTTGGAATTTACGACATATATAGTTGAGTTACGATTTTTATTAAATTCGCAAATGATTTTAAAGTTAAAAAGTTTCGGAATGGTTATAAAATCTCACTTATGGTAGATAGAATATAAAAACTTTCGAGGAAATATTATCATCTGACTCAAATTTTCTATGAAAATTTCTTGCTGCCGCTTCCAGCCACGTTTTATGCAACGAATGAATAAAATATGAATTCATCAGTCGTATAAACGGATATTTGCGATCGTTTATATTATACAACACCTAGACGAAGCATGTATGAGAAGTATTTTCTACTCAGGCAAATGTATGTTGTACTGGTCTAGAATTTGCATATAATTCTTAAAAACAATTAAACGCTTGTAGTCTACAAGCTCTTAACAAAACTCCTATATAAACAGTAAACGGTTTAAACGGTCCCAATAGTCACGATAGCGTTTGGTCCGGTTACTTAAGCGGAAACTTGGCAAATCAAAAGCTCGAGTAAAGTTACTGTTTGATCTGCCAGTTAACTTGCTGCAGGCTGCGTCACTTAACTTTTACAACAAAATTTTAATAGAAGATTATCGAATTAGAAATTTGACATTTAAATAATTTTGAAGAAATGTGTAACACTCTTCTTCAATTGTCATGTGCATAATAATAAAATTATATATGTTTAGTAATAATAAAAAAATGTAAGCAATCTTATATTTTTGTACTTTTAAAATACAAATTATTAGAAAAAAAAATATTTATATAATATAAAATTAAAGCACAAATAATAGATTCAAGCCGCTGGAGTACATTCCAAGATATAAATTACAAAAGCATTGTTGGTCCTCTTACAGAGAAGTCGTAAACGCCTGGTCCACTCAAGTGGAACTAATGGGCATTGTCTTATTTTACCACAATAGGTCACTTTTCTTAAGAATTAAACCCCGACGTACTCGTAAATTTAATCTTAATATCTCATTACTTGCAAACGCCGCTCCGCCTATCTGACTCTTGCCAAAAACTAAGAAAATTGTTACTTTACAGGCAGCTTTGTAGAATTTGTTAATTAAACGTATTGTAATAAATCTGTCTTGTGGCATATATTGTGTTACTTTAAAATATCATTATGTACCTAATGTTACTAAGAAAAAATATCCCGAGTTATAATATTGTGTATGGAAAATAATTATGTTAGCAAATATTTTTTTAACTACGTATTTACGTGAATATTAAAAGGAATAATAATTATATTTGTTTCAGAACGACTATCATTTTTTTTATTTTAGTTATGGGATATCCTCGGGGATTATAGTTTTGCTTGCCTTTAATCTAAGACTGGATAAACATTTTTTATCGTTTTTGTGGTAGTAAACTTGAAAGAAGATAAAAAATATGAAGACGATTTTACAACTCCCCTATACGTACTCGTATAAGTTTATAAAGCACTTTTATAATACTCTATAATTTAACATCGGCTTCATTAATTTAATTTATTTAGGTATAGATAGACTCAAATGGTATAAATATATCTCAGAGTTTGAAAAAAAATGTCAGTTCAAAATTATAAAATGTCATATGGTGATTAAGTAACGTGTGATTGAGTAACATAAACACCGAGACAAAATTTTAGCATCTGTTACTTTTACCGCATAAATAATGTATTGGTTTATGTTATTGTATTGAAAATATATTATCTTATTATTTACAAATGAATGTCATATAATAAATATAAACTTTTGAATTAATATTTTATTTGTAAAACATTCTCGTATTCACATATATGTCATATGTTTATTAATTATTTAATAGTTTTTTAATAACTTATGAAACTAAAAACTCTCTTTTAATAAAATTGACAATAATAATACATTTATCTATTTCTAAGTTACTCTAATTATATTATTAAGTTAATGCAGACTATATAACTGAAATAATTCGTATCAAACCCTACTTGGCTTCAATTTTGATAAAGCTAAAAATCTCTTCCTGTTTACCAATACGATTTTAATCGAATACAACACACCTATAGCATTACATCCATAAAACTAACAAATTTTTGACAATATTTTAAATCTCGATCTTTTCTCAGGATTATTGTTTTGTAAACGTATAATTTTTACTCACTTGTGTCTTTTATCCAATAATTGATTGATCTTGGGGAGGATTCAACGTAGCACTCCAGAGTGACATCTGTGCCTAGTGGAGCTCCCACTATCTGGTTGGGTATTTGAATTTCAGGATGAACTGAACAAATGATTATATTATTACAAATATGAATAAGCAATTGTCACTAAATGTATCACATAATGTATCACGCCATATGACCGACAATTGAGCCAATATACTTTAGAAAGTATATAACAAATCTATTTTTTTTGTTCATATTTTATGTGTAAATTAGTTTCAATAACATGCCAATTACTGCAAAAAATACGTATTAAATATAGAAGATCTTAAATAATTCCGTAAATAACAAGAAGTCTTTGGAAGTTCTCGATATAAATAACAAATATTAGAAATTTTTCGCGAACCTTTCCAACGGTCTCAATTAGTTTTTTGAGGTTGTATTAAATATTTACTTGATACAGTTTTCTTAAATATGACAACTTGAATTTATTATATATATATGTATATACTGTTTGAAATCAAAGTATTATATTTTTTGCTTTAGGAATGATTTACAATGTTTGAAGGTTTCTAAATTTGACACAGATTTTGTTATATTATAATAACTATAAAACATACCCAGGATACTTACAAAGCACTTGGACAACTATCCGTTTGCTTACAGATGGTGGTACGCCGTTACTAGCGATGCACAAATAAGCACCCATGTCTGAGCGGGAGATCTTTGTGAAAGTTAGAACTTCGTCTTCATGAATCGTCGCTTTGTAACAAAATAGAACAAGGAAGATTAGAAATTTTGTTACTGATTAATCAATATTAATAAGTGTTGTTCCTTGTTGCTTTTTAATAAGTCTTAAAATTTTTAGAAATACCTTTTTTCTTGGCGCCGTTGGCGCTTCTTATTACAATATCCAAACCATCTTCCCTTCTCCAAATGATTCTGGGTGTTGGTTGTCCACGAGCACGACAGACTATGCGGGCTGTACCACCCTCTGCCACAACAGTTTCTGAAGATGTTTCCTCAGCCACAAAGTCCGGTGGGATAACTACTTCTAAGTATCCCATCTAAAGCATAAATATGAATATCATTAATTTTAGAAAATTACCATCATCTATACGTTAAAACTTTAATTAAAGTTTTTACAATATCTTTAAAGATAACATAGTTATTTATCTAAATGATCACTTTTCGTTAATTAATCAAACAGTATATTGAAGCGTAAAGAGAAATTATTTTTGAAGCACATTACGTCAAGCGGCGTCATGCCGTGTCGACGTCGCCATCGAAGCCTGCAGCTGCACTGTCGCCGCTAGGGATTTATGTCGTTATCAGACACTGGTATAAATTACAGCGCAGAGCAATAATTTAGGGGAACCATACACGAATCATTACCCGCTGCGTCGCTCGCTCTTTCCCGCCAGTGCTGTTTAATTCACTTTATCTCTAGCTTTTATTGTAACAGCAATATATTATTTTTATTTGCTTTACCAATTAAATGTATATTTGATACTCCTATAAAGAAATATTTCAAGAGACAAAATTTGTCTCAATATTCGTCGTTGAATAGTTTCGATTAGCAAAATAAATGCCAGTAATCAGCATACCCGATATTTTATTTTTTTCAAGATGGTTATGAATGATTTGTATATTTACGAAACATTATTTTTTCACTTTAAATAACCTAAAAGTGTTCCAAACTATTAAATGGCTATGGAATCTTCCGAAAAAAGTGAAACTAAATGGACTTACACGACATATAGATTTATACTGTGGGCTTATATGATGAATGATATAGCTGTTGTATTTACTCCCGCGGATATGTCACACACGGGTTTTTACGTTTACGCGGTTTTGTATATCTTGTTTGCTATTTTTATTGGAATCCCACTCGTTTATTCGGAATTGTGCATTGCACAGTATACAAACTGCAATGTAGTCTCTATGTGGAATTTTTGTCCAATACTACGCGGTGTTGGCCATGCTAATGTTTATTTAATTGTGTTAAAAACAGTTTATATGATGGTACTTTCAACTTGGTATCTAGAGTACACATTTCATAGTGCTCTGGACCCACCCCCTTGGTTTTCATGTGATGATTTTGGTGATCAAAAATGTATGGTGAAAAGAGTAAATGTATCTACATTTCAACATTGTATAGAGGCGCAAAAACTGTTCAATGAAGACTGTGGCATGAAAACAGCCAGCAGATGTTTTTTTGACAGAGAAATAGCAAATAATAATACGAAAAATATGAATTGTTTATTTATTTGGAAGACTTTCTTATGCGGTTTTTTATCGAGCTTTGGTCTATTTATTTTTTTAATGAAGAAAAAAAGAATTTTCAAAATTTTTGTGAGATTGTTGGCTTGTTATATGTCTATTATATTATTAATATTATTTGTAGTAGCTCTATCTACAAGTGGCACTTGGTACGCGGCAAAAATTGGAGTTCACATTGAAGTATTCGATGATGATTATTGTTTTTATATTTTAACACAGAGTGTTCTTACTTTTGGAACTGGATGTGGTATAATAGGCTTTTTAACAAAAAATATGCCTTTTCGTAGTCCCGCCACAATGACTGCCATTACGGCACCACTTTTGTCAATTTTTATTTCTCTCGTTTTTGGAATTATCATTTTCAGTGGTATTAAAACTGTTTCATACTACCATGGAGAAGAAGAAAATGTCGTAGAAGTTGGAAATATTTATTTATTCAATCCATTTGCGTCTATAGCTGAGATATTAAGTTACTTTGATAATTTACCAGTATGGGGATTTTGTTGGTTTTCCACAATTTTTGTCTGTTTATTCATAAATATGTCCATACATTGCCTTTGTTTATTGGAATTACTGACAAGCACTTATACAACGGCCCATAAGTATAATAAATTATGTTGTTTTATTCTAAGCTTCCTTATTGGCATAATTTCTTGGCCGTTTTACTGTTCAGATCTCGCAGTGGTTCTAACAGATGTTACTCAAATTATTCAACTCACGAGCAACTTGTTCTTTTCCGTGGGAATATATTGGATATACGGCTTTCAAAAGCACAATGTGGACATTATATTTATGATTGGTGTAAAGGCAAGTTATTTTTGGAAATTTTCTTGGATAACCAATCCAATATGGATCATCTTTATTTTTTACACCAAACTAAATCACCTTCAAATAAATAGTATTGTAAGTTCTTATTATATTTCTTCATTATTCATACACGTCGATCAACTCTTAATTTTTATTCTGTGCGGGATCTACATTTTTATTATAATTATTGGAACGTGTAACGAATTAAGAAGGTTTTATAAATACGATTCGGTGTGGAATATTTGTCGTCCTTATAAAAATTGGGGTCCTCAAGATAAGATTTTATTTCGGAGTAGAAATATGTTCGTACCCGAGATTATGACAAGAGAATTTTTATATAGACAAGTGAGAATCCATGGTTACATAAAGAAGAACAATAAATTTAAACAGAAAGTCAACACCGAAGCAGTGCAGGAACCGACGGAAACGTCTGAATGGAATGCCTTGACTTCCAACTAGAAATATGAATTCATAATTAAAAAGATACAAATTAATTAAATATATGTATAACAATATTTACCTGACTCTGCATTGGGTCAGTATTGATTTGACACATGTAGTGACCCCGATCATACTCTTGGACGTTCCTAATGTGTAAATTCCAAACAGTCTGCCCATTATGAGACACGCCCACTCTAGGATTATTAGTTATCACATGGTCGTGTATTGCTTGGATGGCTTTAGTGTCCGCTTTTACCCAACCGACCTACATATTAGTTTGGCGTAGTAATTATATTTTGATTAAATAAACATTAAAATATAAATAAAAAATTATTGATACGGAAATTATTAAAATGTATTTTTATTCTCAATTAAAGTAATATTAGTTAATAATGTATTCTCTTACCCTGTATCCTCCAAGATTATGCACAAGGCATCTAAAAGTTGCGTCTCTTCCCACTGGTACAGTTAAATTTGTTATTGGTTCCGCAAATTTCGGTTGAAATGCTTGACCTGAAATAAAATATCTTATATAAAATTACTTTTTTAATAAAATTTTGTAAAATTGACAAAACGATTAAAAACTATAGAACTTGAAACTTTTAATAGAGAATGTCACTATTGATAACGGTTTTTTTCTTATAAAGAACTCATTTCTTAGTTTCTATTACTCTTATATACGAGTATCTACTCACCAACGAGCTTAGATTCAAGTCCGATCATGAAAATAGCGAGTATATATAAGGACCACCAATGCTCCTGCATATTTCAATGCCAGATCCTCGAATGCTGTCAGATGCTTAAGCCGGGTATATCCATGTGACACTGAAAACGATCGGCGTTTTTAAAATTGCGTTGCTGAATAACGTAAATTACAATGATAGTATTTTGTTTTATGTTGAACTTTCGTTATTTTAAATTTTCCTATTATTTTATATTTAACTTTAAAAATATATAAAACAAACACAAAATTCTGTTGTAAAAAAAAATATTATTGCATTGTAAACAAAAAGAAGCAAGCAAAACACTGTCTTTTTCATTCGATATACGAGTATAAAGAAAGATAAAAGACTATTTGGGCGCCTGACGCGGGACATTTTGAGATTTGATCAGTCAATAATGATTCACTATTATGGGTCCATCAACCATTCATGCAAACATCGCCTGTGAAGGGTACGTATCGTTGCAAGAGCGGATGCGATCACAAACCGGTAAGTATTTTTCCGCCGAAGTGCGATAATGTTGTAGGAGTATTTCTAGACATACTTCAGTTATCAATACGACTAAAACGACATATTGAAACTACTTACTACTTTCGATAGCTCTTTTAGTGTTGTATAAAAGATTCCTTAATGTGTATTATGTTGGAGATAGCTGTACTTACGCAAAAGTGCAAGGATAAAGTAATGATGTGAAGTTACTATTTATACAGAGTAGCTTCATGTTGTTTTCTTTATATATTGCAATAAAATGTACTGATTACATGAAACAACAGACTATTTCCACTCTTTTGCTCCCGAATTGGAATGTTGTACTTTGACATATTATTTCTTACATAAAAGATAGCATGAGATTAAAAATTACCAATTTTATATCTGTTCTTTTAAGGAAGTTTTAAGACTTGCAAATAGATATAATTAATAAGTGGTTTACTTATCGGTAGCAACAATTTTAGTTAAATTTAATGTTAAAGGTTTTTATTAATTTATGAAAAGTCGTGATATTCTTAGGAATAACGTGTAAATTGTATTTACTTAAAACATAAAAGTAAGTTATGGTATTCTTAAAAATAATGTTAATATTAGTTTTATTTAAAGTTCGTAATTGTCAAATGAATTTTAATTATAGAAACTGTTTTCAAGTTCAATTTCAATGTAAAAGTAATTATTAACTAATAATAATCATAAGTTCTTTTTCAGAAGCGCGGCTATATTAAATTTGTCTTTTAATAAATTGAGTAATTTGGTTGTAATAGCATTAATTAATAACTTATATTTTAATCAATGAAAATATAAATATATTCCTTATTAAGTGTGCTGATTTTTTTGTAATAAATTTGATTTCAATAACGTAATTTTTATTAATTAATAATAATTAATGTGTATTGAAGGGTCACGTTTAAGGAGTCCATAATTAGAAAAATTACGTTTAAAAGTTCGTTAGTACAATTATAATATACATTGATAAGGAATTGAAGTTGGAATTTTAATAATTACTTTAATATTTATAATAATATAATTTAAATAATATTTATAAGAATGCCAGGTGCATTTTTATTCTTCTTTTTAGCATAACCTTAGAATTGAAAATTTTAGCTTTTATATATCATACATTTATCTAACAATATTTAAATAAATAATATGATACAAGAAGACAAACTATTACCAGAAAAAACAGTCAGTACTTTATTTTAGATAACTCGCTAATGATAATGTTTGCTTAAGCCGTTAAAACGGTAAGAGTAGCTCTCTTCCTCTTTCACGCAATTAGTACTCGAAGTGTGAAAATTTTACTTTTAGGAGTAATTATTTATATGGCTATTTTTATTTACAGGCTCACGTTTCAAATTTAGCCAAATCATTGTGAAGGCTGATACATATAACCTAAGCTTCCTTTCAATATTTGCTCTTTATAAAATTATTCAAAATTATCTTTCAGCGTATTCAGCAATGCACAATAAAATAAAATGGTAAATAATTGGTCATATGAAAATTAATTAAATAGCCTCCATCACATATTTTGTATTTTTCTTACTCGTCTTAAAGTTTGCAATGTATGTAACGTAGTATTCTTTGAATAGAACTTTTATGTCAGCAAAGTTGAGCTCTATCAGTTTTGGAAATATAGCTCCAGTGAGCTTCATTTGCATTCATTTTTTATATATATTGGCGCAATTATTAATTGCATTTAACACATATATCCTACTTACAAGACAAATCATTTGAGCAATAAAAAGGTCACTGATGCCGCCACTGATTGTTACCAATCGAATTAAACAGTGTAATCTTTTTCAGTAAGCACGAGATGTGATTGTGTTTACGAATACATTTATTGTATTTATACCCCTATTAATAAGATTAAAAACTTTTTCAATATTACAGTGTAGCACTAGTAATGGGGCATTTTTATTTTTAATATTTTTATATTTTCGCTTACAATTATCCCATTGCACAGCCTAACAAATTAAAAAGATGACCCTTCTCTTTGATTAAAACGCAAAAGCATGATAAGACTAAATAATTTATTTCTCATTAACCGCTTTGGATGTCATGTAAGCAATGATAATGTTCAATGTTAATAATAGTTTTATCATTTAATGTAATGGATATGCAGTATCTTGATACGCAATACATACCTATGAATGAACTAATGAAAGTGAAGCAATAATATTATTTGTTATTATAAATACGAATTCATAATCTGCTAATATAAAAGATAAAAACAATGACATCATTCACGCATATACCATTGTTTGGATTTTTGTTAAAGTGGAGATGCAACTTAAATTATCTTGCCGATGGATGTGAGTCAGATGAAATAAATTTTGTGTAAACTATAATACATAGTTATTTTACATTAATAAGACAACTGATTAGAATATTATTGTAACATTTTTAAAAATAATTAAATTACACATCTACCAAAATATTATAGCAAACTTGTACCAAACTCTTCTTTTTTTAATTTTTTTTTACAAATAAAATAACTATTAAAACGATGTGAAAATATTTATAAGAGTAAATTTGAAGGTACTAAAACAATTTATAAAACCAATACATTTTAACGAAGTTGACAGCCTGTATTTGAACTCACGTCGACCGTAAATAATGCTACCGTTCAACCACAAAACATTTATTATTAAATTCGTGGACAGAGAATAATAATTGAATTATTATGACACATCTTTCAAAGCTAATACAGTAACTTTTATTTTGCATTGGAGTGAAATCATCTAACAATATATATTACTTTTTGTCTTTTAGAGTGTTAATTGGATTGGATTCATATATTCTCATAAAAAATCTTGAAAGTCCTTTTTTATTTTGAATTTATTAACTGTCTGACCCACATTTATAGGATTATAGTGCCAAGAAGTGACACAAAGAATTTTACTGATAAACTGTCCTACGTCGTGAAAAGTATGAAAAAATAATAATAAATTACCGTTCGTATCGTAGGTACACATTTGTGTATTACAAGGATCTTGTTATCATATAAATATAAATGTGATAAGGGATGAGTATATACATAAGGGTTTTTTCATAAAATGTCTATTATTGAACACTTACTAAATTATTTATCAAATCCCATCAAGAAAATGAAAAGCATAAAAAAATTACATTACAATATGTGTGTACCGTAGATACATATTTGTGTAACCAACACCGCTCTTTGTCACCTAAATATAAATGTGATAAATATATATACATACGTAAAAGACTTTTTTTAAAAGCCTATCGTTCATAATTAAATAAATAATTAATTAAACTCTATCCAAAAAATATAAAGGTGATACGAAGTTATTTATATGAATAATACATTAAAGTGAAATGTTATAAATTATTAAGACTTAAAATTATCTAATAAGACCTAATAGTAAAAATAAAAATAAAACGCAAAATAAAATCTGTATTAGTGTTTAAGTGAGATCAATATTTACAGATACATTATTTTTATTTTATATTATGGAATTTTACACGGCCTAGCCGGTAAAAATATAAAAATAATAAAAAATATAAACCAATATTTATATGTATATATATTTTTTAATGTATATTTATTTATAAAAATAAAACCAAAATATTTATTATATAACATAACAAAAAGATATTAAACTCACTATAAACTACGGAAGAGCACGGTAGAAAATAAATTTTTAAACTTTCAACGCATAAAACGTACATTAAAACAGAAAAGTGATATTTACTCACCTAAAGTAAACAGCGAATAAACAAAATTATTCCACTTAAATTGCGTATAAAGTTGCCACTTTGAGAGCGAGTACAGAGCGTGCGGACGACACAGTCGAAGTCACACCATACACTGGCGGTTTGTTCATTCAAAGCTCAGTTCTCCCGTTATTCTTACGCAGATGTCCGTATGATGGAAGATATGAACCGATAGATTCTGACTTGCCTTTAACAGATATTGGCGACTTAGCCACTTTGGAATCAAATGAAAACGTCGCAGTCATTTTTCATCTCAAACAGCTTGTATATATTACTTTATTACAACGACAATTTTTATTTAAAAAATGTCTTTTAAATAAATTGAATTATCAAGTTTACTTTTAATTAACGCTCTGAAATTCAAACAATTTATAAGGAAGGGGAGGTAGGAGTTATTTATAAAATGAATGTAAAAAAACAACTGTTTGTCATATTTTACAATGTCTTAGATTTTAGGAAAAATGTTTGTTCAAGGCTCTCTGGTTTTACCTTTGGTACATATTTTTGAATATATTATCGGTAATGAAATAATTTATAATCAAAATTATGGCTTATTCGTTAACAATTCATCTTTAATTTATTCAAAATTATTTTCACTTACTTTCAAGAGGTTTTCAAGAAATTATGAGAGTTCAGATTTAGACGCAAGCGCCGAGACACTATGTTTGCTTGTCTTGAAAAGCAACTAAATAAACTCGTATTCATTCTTTTTCTTTAATAATTGTAAAATTATCTTATAGAAAATAATCTTAGTATAATCTTTCCAAAATTCTAAAACCCTGTGGGATGTAGGGTACTATTGGATAGTGGTCAATA